GACCTCACAGGGAGGCCGAATCAATGTTGTCTTCTCCATAGCCCTAGCGTAATACCAACTGAGCGAACGGTTTACCACCGCTGCTAGCTCCCTGTTTTGTAGGGTTGTTTACCTTAAGAGGGCAGATCCACCCAGAACGCACATCTTAACTTGTTTTGGCCACCGTGGGCTTAACTCATTGAAACGCGCTTTCCGGTCATTCAACGCGCCGCTAGGGGCCACTTTTGAGAAGAAGCGTATCTTCAATAATAAAGCGGATTTTTTCCCTCTCTTCTGCTTTATTTACCTGCATTCTTAAAAAGGCAGGCAACAACGTACTATATATATATAATACGTATACGCTACGTCCTCAATGAGTTAAAAATGAAACTACAGCCATGAAACTGCATCACAGTTCAATTATTGCAGTTGTGTGGTCAAAAATTAAATTTTTGAAACTAAAAAAGAGGATTTTACAAGCAACGTTTATAGCGTTCATATGCGCAGTGTCGCTAAATGGTCCTAGACGGACTATATTTTGTTCTTAATCTTGTAAAAGAGGATATATTTTTAATCAATATCTATGATATTCACCTGCATAGTATCGCAAAAATGGTCTTTAAAAGACTTTATTAAAAAAAAAAACAACAACAACAACAACAATCTTCTTTGGCAGGGTTCAAGTTTCTGGCGTATTCTAATCTTTCACACGAGCTTGACACAACGGTCGTCGTGTGGAGCATGTCACTACAAGTTACCACACGCGAAATCAGAGTGCAAATCTTGTCACTGGGCGTAGTGCAAATGTCACACACTATTGAAAAAACTGCAGCCGATCACGGAAGTAAGTACAGGTGAGACCTCTTATCGAACAGAGATCTCATTTTGACCTCTCTCTCTCTTTCTTTCTTTCTTTCTCTCTCTCTCTCTCTATCTCTTTTCTCTCTCTCTCTCTCTCTCTCTCTCTCTCTTTCTCTCTTCTTTTCCTTCCTAGAACCTCTTATCGAATAGCCGCCCCATTTTGATCCAGCTCTCCTCCCCTTCCTTCTTTCTTTCTTTCTTTCATTCATTCATTCTTTTTTCTCTTCCTTTCTTTCATTCATTCATTCATTCATTCTTTCTTTCTCTTCCTTTCTTTCATTCATTCATTCATTCATTCATTCATTCATTCTTTCTTTCTCCTTCTTTTTTTTATTCTTTCTTTGACATCTCTTATAGTATAGCTGTCTCATTCTAACTCAGTGCTCACCTCATCCTCTGTTCTTTCTTCCTTCCTTTCTACATATTATGTCTTTCTCATCTCTGAGTGGGCGCGCACACATGTCAGGCTGAACTTTTCTGCCCTATAAAGTGGAAAACTTTCCCTCCAGTGGAAGAGCAGCAACAGCAAGCAACACCACATGGTAAATATTCCAACCCCCTGACCAACACAGTTTGGATCATTGAGTGCGGCGCGCTGCTCCGACCCTGACTATAGTGTATCAGGGTCAAACTGGGCTGGGTTTTTTTAAATATAAGTTTTTACACACAATTTTGGCAATTTAGGAGGTAGGTTGTTTCGACTGTGTTTGCAAGAGCAAATGGCTGAGAGGAGATATTTGATGAACCCCCTCTCAACCCCAACATGAATCGAACGCACAACTTCTGTGTGCAACGGCAGAGGGCCTAACCATTAAACAACAAACCCCAATAGAGCATCAGGAGAAAACCTTACGAACATGAAAAACTAGCAAGACTCAAATGGGGATCCCGATTAGAGGCTAACGCACATCTTCTTCAACACATTCATTTATCCCTAGAACGGTTCAGCAATTGTGTCCTAAACATAGTTAGATAAAATCAACAAACTCACCTTGACTAAAGCACGTGAAAGTTCCGAGCATGCACAGGAGCATTTCTGTTTATCCATTGGAGCCACAGAGGGATCGAAACTGACATACAAACTAACAGGTCATATCATGAACTTAGTCGAAAACACAGGGCGCGCAAAGAAGTCCGAACACATCAAATCGATTGTTCCACACACGTCAGAGAGGAGGGGGGGGGGGAGACAACAAAAAAGCCCCAATCAACCTGCTGTCTCTCGAGCTAATACTGCTGTCTAACAGCCCAACGTTTGCGCGTTAGACTCAGATACATACGTATAAAGTTGAAGATATTATGCCTTCCTGAGATCAATGCAGCCTAAAAATGGGGGTGTAAAAAATCAATGAAATTTGCTTTACTGAAAAGAACACAACAGCAATGGAAACGGTCGTCTCGCGAGGGCAACCACATCCCCCCCAACACGTGCTAACCTTTCATTCTTTCACACACTAACAGGCAAAGACAAATCTCCTCCACACGAGTGATAATCAACGAGGGTCGTGTCGAGTCGAGTAGTGTTGTGTTGTGTTCCTCCGTTTCACAAAAGCCACATCAGGAACACATACGTAGCCCCAACTTTGTTGTTACGGATGCCGTCCCCTCACATGAGCAAATCTCCGTTAAAGACTGGCGATAAAACGAACCGTTGATCCCGCTCCACGCAGGTTATGGCCAATATCAGCGTTTTGTCCATCCGTCATTCGGGCTATTGTGCCACCGGACGTCTCAGGCTCAACTGATAATCGCCGCGGCAATTCCTAAACCTCTGAAACGTTCTCTCATTCAGAAAGGTCAGCGCCAGTATTCACAACAGCGGACGCACAGACCAGTTAGTTTGTAATATTCTTCACACGACAGTAGTCACAGAGAGTTA